AAATGATATACGATAGGATGAATGTAGAACTAATGTTCTCCCATGTAAACTATCACATAATTCACAATAAAACATTTAAAAAAAAGAAGATGGAAGGAATACACAGTCACTGCATCAAAAAGAATCCCAGGATTAGTCAGTATTTCGTTCTGCTGTGCATAGGGTCGCTATGGGTCTGTACCGACTCAATGGCACCTAACAACAACAAGAAACCCATTTCTAGAGGTAGCAGGGGATCAAGAATGAATGGCATTGAAGGAAGAAGTCCAAACTGCACTGAAGGCAATAGGGAAACAAAGACTCCAAGAATTGATGGAATACCACTTGAAATGCTTCAACAAAAAGATGCAGTTCTAGATGTGCTCATTGAACTATGCCAAGAAATTTGGAAGGCAGTTACATGGCCAACTGATTAGAAGAGATCCATATTTTTGTCAATTCCAAATACAGATGACCCAATAGAATATGGAAATCATCAAACAATATCATTAATGTAACATGCAAGTATGTTGAAGATAGTTTAAAAATTGTTACAATAGTACATTGACAGACAGCTACCAGAAATTCATGCCAGATTCAGAAGAGGATGAAGAACGAGGGATATCATTGCTGACAACAGATGGATCATGGCTGAAAGCAGAGAATAACAGAAAGATGTTTACTTGTTCTTTATTAACTATGCAAAGGTATTACACTGTGGGTATCATAACACTCTGTGGATAACACTGCAAAAAATGGTATTTCAGAATACTTAATTATGTTCATGAGAAACCTATGCATAGACCAAGAGGCAGTTTTTCAAACTAAACAAGGGGATACAGAATGATTTATAATCAGGAAAGGTGTGTGTCAGAGGTGGATACTTTCACCATACTTATTAAATCTGTATGATGCGCAAATAATCAGAAAAGATGAATTATATGAAGAAGAATATGGCATCAGGATTAGAGGAAAACTCATTAATAATGTGTGATACGTAGGTGACAAATCTTGCTTGCTGGGAGCAAAAAGGACTTGAAATACTTACTGCTGAAGATCAAAGAGTACATATAGCCTTCATTATGGACTTTACCTCAATGTAAAGAAAATGAAAATCCTCACAACTAGACCAACAAATAACTTCATAATAAATAGAGAAAAGACTGAAGTTGTCAAAGACCTTATTTTGCTTCGATCATGGAAGCAGCAGTCAAGAAATCAAATGATGGACTGCATTAGGCAAATCTTTTGCAAAACACCTCTTGAAAGTGTTAAAAAACAAAGATGTCACTTTGAAGGCTAAGGTGAGCCTGATCCAAGCCATGGTATTTTCAATTGCCTGGTATGCATGTGAAAGTTGGACAATGAAAACAGAAGACCACAGAAGAACCAATGCATTTGAATTATGGTCTTAGAGAAGAATACTGAAAGCACCACGGACTACCAGAAGAACAAACAAATCTATCTTGGAAGAAGTACAACCAGATTGCTCCTTAGAGGTGGGGATGGCACTGGACTAATAACAACATTATTATCAATTCTCGTTCTTTCAATATCTTGTCAGGAGGGACCAGTTTTTGAAGAAGGACATTATGCTTGGTTGAAGGATGTGTTAACAAAAAAGAGGAAGACCCCCAACAAGATGGACTGACATAGTGGCAGCAGCAGTGGTTCAAACATAAAAATAGTGAAGACACTAGACTGTTCAGTGTTTCATGCTATTCTGCAGAGCTTGCTATGAGTCAGAATTGACTCAATGGCACCTAACAACAACGATAGATTTAACGGCTCTGATAGCACTGTGGGCTAATCATTAGACTGCTAGTCACAAGGTTGGCAGTTCAAACCCACAAACTGCTCCCCAAGAGAGAGATGAACCTGCATGCAGGCTTTGGTGATTTGTTTCCATTAAAATTGCATCAAGAAAACTCTATGGAGAAGGTCTACTTTAAAACATGGGGTTGTCATGAGTCAGTTTTGGTATGAAAGCTTATAAAAAGTGGATTCAACCAAGCCAGAGTCTGAGAAGGTGGTTTTGAGGAAATGGTATTAAAGAGAACTAAATGAAAAGATGAACAGAAGAAAAGAACGGCATATAGTAAAATGAAGATCATTTCTAACCTGTTGGGTAATGGTTTCCCATGGTCCCTGTAGAAGCCGTGTCTTGTAGCACTCATGGACTCTTTCCCATATGTCCTCCAGAGTTAAAGGTCTTCCATCTGTGAAAATGTACGTTTAGTGAGTAATCCCATTGAAACATGGTGCTTAGCATGTATCTAGAAATATTGGAAGAATATTGTTATTTTAAAAAATCTTTACTAGTCCATATATTAAAATATCCATGGCACAGCTTCCAGAATCACAGTAATTCACAAACCAACACAGTACAACAAACTCACAGACCAGTGGTGGTGACAGTGTTTCTCTGCTATTCATAAAGTTTTCAGTGACTAAACATTCAGAAGTAGTTTGTCTCTCCTTCTTCCTAGTCTGTCTTAGTCTGGAAACTCACCTGAAACCTGTCCACTGTGCGAGACCCTGCTGGTGTTTACCTGTGCTTTATTTGCTATGCAAAGGCTTTCGATCGTGTGGATTATGACAAGCTATGGACAACGTTGAGAAGTATGAGAAGTCCAGAGCACTTAATTGTTGTGCCCATGAGAAATCTGTACCTGGACCAAGAGGCAGTTGTTCGAAAAGAACGTGGGAACACTGAATGGTTTAAAATTAAGAAAGATGTGTGACAGGGTTGCATTCTTTTGCCACACAACCTATACACTGAGCAAATAGTCCGAGAAGCTAGATTATATGAAGATTGGAGGAAGACTCATTAACAACCTGTGATATGCAGATGATACAACCTTGATTGCTGAAAGTGAAGAGGACTTAAAATACTTACTGATGAAGATCAAAGAGCACAGCCTTTGGTATGTATTGCATCTCAATGTCAAAAAAACAAAAACCCTCACCACTGGACCAATAAACAACATTCTTATCAATGGAGAAAAGACTGAGGTTGTCAAGGACTTTATTCTTCTGGGATTAACCATCAACACTCATGGAAGCAGCAATCAAAAAATCAAATGACATATTGCATTAGGCAAATCTGCTGCACAAGAACTTTTTAAAGTGTTGAAGAGTAAAGATGTCAGATTGAGGACTAAGGTGTGCCTGACCCAGCTGTGGTATTTTCAGTAACTTCATATGCATGTGAAAGCTAGACAGTAAATAAGGAAGACCATAGAAGAAGTGATGCTTTTGAGTTATGGTTTGGAGGAGAATATTGAAAGTGCCATGGGCTACCAAAAAACCAACAGGTCTGTGTTGGAAGAAGTGCAGCTAGAGTGCTCCTTGTAGGCCAGAATGGCCAAACTGCATCTCTCATACTTCCAACATATTGTCAGGAGGGACCAGTCACTAGAGAAGGATATCATGTTTGGTAAGATGGAGGGTTAGAGAAAAAGAGGAAGATGCCAGCATGGATTGGCAAAATGGCAGCATCACTATTGCTCAAGTATGGCAATAGTTGTGAAGTTGGCCCAGGACCGGACAGTGTTTCATTCTTTTGTGCATATGGTCACTATGAGTCAGTTCCAACTCGATGGCACCTAACAACAACAACAGTACATATATGGGACTCATTGTGTGGCACTGTAGGATAGGCGCTGGACTGCTGACCATGAAGTCAGTGGTTCAAACCCACCAGCTGCTCCTTGGAAACTCTATATAGGGTTGCTATGAGTTGGAACTGACTCCAAGGCTCTTAACAACAACAAAAAGTACATATTCTGGAATTCTGGTATGGTGCTGTGGGTTAATGCACTGAACTGCAAGGTCGATTTGAACCACAAGTTTGGTGATTCAAGCTCACCAACTGCTCCTCCGAAACCCTACACAGGGTTGCTGAGTTGGAACTGACTTGATGGCACTTTACAACAACAACAATGTGAATTATTTACTGTTTACTTTCTGGGAAAAATTCAAACACTGGCACTTCTCTATTTTACATCCATCTAGCAGCTGAGTTATCTGCTCATTCATTGCCACTAGGGATTTAAAAAAATAAATAAAACTCAAATGTGTTTTAGAGCAAACGGTTAGATACAAGCAGAGTTAGAGGACCAGGTAGGAAGACTCCCATGTTCACAAGGGTGCTCGATGGATAACTCTGAAATGTTACTACTTTCTCTAGTCCTTAAAATCAACCACTCATGTTTCTTTCACTTTCTCATTTATTGAGTATGTGAGTCCTGGAAGCACAGTGGATTGCAAGTTGTACTGTTAATCACAAGGTCAGAAGTGTGAAACCACCAGCTGCTCTGTAGGAGGAAGATGATGATTTCTGTTCCTGTCAAGATGTACAGCCTCAGAAGCCCTTGTACAGGGTCACTATGATTTGGAACCAACTGCACAGCACATAACCACCACCACCCCGTTGGGCACCATGGGAATAAAAAGAACAGAATCACACAATTTCTCCTAGTTAGAAGCTTACTACCCACTTGGTAAATTATGATAAGTATATCAACAACCTTTGTTGTTGTTAATAGCTAGTGTTGAGTTGGCTCCTGACTTGTGGTCCTCCAATAAACAGAGTTGGGACCATTGTAATTCATTGGCTGATTTTCAGATTTAGACAACCAGGCCTTTTCCCTTAGTCTGTCTTAGTCTAGAAACTCTGCTGAAACCTGTCCAGCATTGTAGTACTACACCAGTATCTAATGGCAGATGAATGGCAGCTGTGTTTGAGGTGCATTGGTCAGGAATTGGACCCAGGTATCCCATTTGAAAAGCAGGGGTTTGCTAACTGATAGAGCAAAATCACAGTTCTATGACAGCTCAGATGAGGGAGACAGTAACACCCAATGTCAGTGATGGAAGTGGAGAAAGAAGGGTGGGGGAATAAGAGGTTAACATGAAGAGATTAATAAAAGGTCTACTGTTGTTGCTGTTATGTATTGTCAAGTTGATTCTGACTCACAGTGACCTACCTAGGGTTCCGAAGGCTATAAATCTTTACAAGAGCAGAAAGGCGCATCTTTTTCCATTTTGGTGGGCTTGAACTGCTGGCCTTGTAGTTAGTAGTCTAATAAAAACCTTGTGAACAGTTGTTCCTCTTTCCTTTCTAAACAGTTTCAAATATTCCCATATATTCAGTGTTTTTGTTGTTGCTAAGTGCCGTCGAGTCAGTTCCAATTCATAACAACCTTGTATAGGGTTTCTAAAGAGCAGCTGATGAGTTTGCACTGCTGACCTTGTGGTTCACACAGACTTTGCATTCCAGTGCTTTATCTCACAATGCCACAGCAAGACACCCAAATAATGTGTTTATGAAGAGCACTATATTCTTTCTCATCAACAGAGTAAAACTGAAGTTGTCAAGGACTTCATTCTTCTTGGATCAACTATCAACACTCATGGAAGCAGCAGTCAAGAAATCCAGCGACATATTGCATTAGGCAAATC